AACTCTGTTTTCTCCTTCACAGATGCTGCCAGACCTGCTGAGCTTTTCCAGCAACTTTGTTTTTGTGGCAAATAAAGAATTTGTGTACTGTAACTTTTTTCAGCAGAGTAAAGGAATGATGAAAGCAGATAATGGGCACGATAATGATATTTAAAAGGGGACTCATTGCATAGAAAAAAGAAAAAGAAATATAACATGGGTGAATGGAGCAGACAAAAAGTGCAATTCTCTAATATTTAATGCGGGCATTTGAAAGTGAGTAAGAGTTATTCATTTCTCAGAATAAAAAGACAAATAGCAAATCATTTTCCAGAATAAACATCCTTTCTTTCTCCATGGGTCAGTATTTCAAAGAAATATCATCTTTAATATAAACTTCCCATTGTATCTTAACAATGACATTTAACAAGTGCAGCTCATTTTTATTTTTATTGCAAAGTTATAAGTCAGCAAACATTGCACACTACAAAAGACATGAAAATGTACATTTCATTATACACTAAGAAATTATGCTTTCCTCAGTACTTTTTAAATGAAGCTACATATAAAATAGTTCAAACAGTGACAAACATCTGGGCTTAGACGCGAAACAATGTAAGACACTTAAGAATAATTGTTATTTGCTTAAAAAAAAAAACCAGACAGGAGACAGATTAACAAAATCAGACATCTACAAAGATTTGCAGTGAAGTGCAGGTTGGGCTTCAAATTCTTTCACTCATGGCTTTCTCTAGTTCTGCCATTTGCTTATGTCCTTCAAATGTAGCCTTCTGTGTCACTATAGCCAAACGTTCATGATATTGTTCCAGATCAGCCAGCAGCTTGGAGTACAAATTCTGTTAGTAGATAAATCAAGAACACGACTCAAAACTTTAATCCAATTACTGTGCATCATCTTTCCCTTCAGAACATTCTTCTGTTACTCGTATCATTGTATCAGTTAACAAGTAAGCATGCACATTTTATCCCATTAATGCTATGTGTTTTCCAAGTTGACAGCAAAGGTCAGGAAGATGAGTGAGGTGAGCATGTATTTTTCTCTTTTCCCCCCACCCTCAACAATTCTTTCACAAAATGAGGGCATTACTGGTGACGCCAGCATTATTGCCCATCCTCAACTGCCCTGGAGAAGGTGATGGGTAATTTTTTTGAACCAATGCAATTATGAGAGTAGTACGTACACAATGCTGCTAGGAAGTGCATTCCAAAATTTCGGCCCAGGAACAGAGAAGGAATGGTGACGTAGTTCCAAGTCAGAATTGTGTGTGACTTTGAGGGGGATTTGCAGGTGGCATTATTGCAATGTATTTATGGCTCGTTCTTCCATGTAACAGAGGTCACAGATTAGGCAGGTGTTATTAAAGGAGTTGCTGCAGTGAATGTTATAGATGGTACACATCACTGCACTGAGCAGAGGGTATGAATATTGAAGGTAGTTGATGGGTAGAGCTTCTTGAGTGTTATTGGAGCTGCACTCATCCAGGCAAACAGGAGTACTTCATCAAGTTCCTACTGCACCCGTAGATAGTGAACAGGTTTTGAGCAGTCAGGTGGTGATTTGCTGCCACAAAATTCCTACCTTCTGACCTACTTTTCTGTTCGGTATTTATTAATCTATGCAGTTCAGTTTCTAAATGGTATTCTCCAAGAAGTTGTAACAAAGGTTGCCAGTGATGGCAATGCCATTGAATATCAAGGGAAATGGTTAGATTTCGTCTTGTTGGAGATGGTCAGTGCCTGGCATTTATGTGACATGAATGTTACTGGACACATCAGCCCAAACCTGAATGCTGCATTTGGACAGAAACTGCTTCAGTGTCTGATGAATGGTAAATGGCGCAATCATCAATGAACATCCCCACTTCTGACTTTATGATAGAGGGAAGGTCAGCTTGATGAAGCAGCTGAAAATGGCTGGGCCCAAACACTACTAAAGAACTCCTTCAGAGATGACCTAGAACCAAGATGATTGACCTCCAACAGCACACCATCTCTCTTTGTATTAAGCATAACTCCATGCAATGGAGAGATTTTACCTTTATTTGCATTGACTCCAGATTTTCTAGTGCTCTTTTATGCCAAACATAGTCAAATGCTGCCTTGATGTCAAGGCAGTCACTTGTGTGGCAGAGAGGCTAGGAACGGAATTCTGGAACAGAAGGGCTCAGCAGTTGAAGACATGGTAAGAAACGGTTTCAATGATGGAGCAATTAAAAAGTAATGCTCAAACAACCAGAATTAGAACAATATATATTTTGAGAATTAAGGCCAGTGAAGAATCTGTATAGCACAAATGCTTCTTTCTGGTCTGAAATGATAGCACACTCATCTACATGTATAAAATTAAAAGAAACACTCAATTTTAGAGAAGTGTGTTCAAAATAAAAGTATGAATACCTCACCCCTGTTGAAAATGATGATTTCCACAAGATTTTAGCATAGCTCAATTTGTACTTTAGTTCATAATTTGGTGTTTCACAAATATTACAGTAGCCAGCTACAATTAAAAAGCTAAACCCTGGGTGAAAAGTTTTAGAGGAGAGTTTATGTTTTGCACAATGTTGAAAGACTTCCTAACAGGGTTAACTCTTGAAGATCCTTTCAAACAGCTTAACTGATGCATTTCATAAAGATCATTCTTCAAAATTACATTAAATCCAAAGTACTTCTGACACCCCATATTAGGAAAGACAAAGACAACTCTTATCCTTATAAATAATGCCGCCTGCACTATATAATATTCCCCTCAAGTGGTCAATTGCAATTTTGATTAAGAAACATTAAGCAAGTAAATCAAAGCCTTAATGTAATGCAAATCACTTCTGGTTCAGATGTGTAAACATCTTTACTAATGGAAGCTTTAAAAAGGAACCTGGTTATCACGGTGTGATAGATTACAGCCTCTTCATCACAGTGCTATTACATACCTGACATTCTGATTCATCTTTAGCACAGCTCTCTTGCAATGTCTGGCTTTTCGTCTGATATTGTTGACGTTCACTGTTTATTTGTGCAATCTTTTCAGACACCTCCTGGCTTCGCTGCTTAAACATATCAAACTCCCTATTCAAAACAACAAAAAAAAAATTGAATTCTATGTTACAATATTTTTTCAAACAAAACAAATAAACATACATTCCTTAATTACCCAGAAATTTGATTTGCAAGACAAACAGACAGAATGTGCCACCCCCACCACCATTGGGATGAACAACAGCTACAATGAGGCTCCAACTCAAATTTACAGATTGTGCCCTGAATAGCCAGGACTTGAGGTATTGACTGAAAGCATGAGACAGATGTCAAGTGCACCAATAAACATGAAGACGTTTCCATACGTTAAAAAAAAACCTGTCATTCTGACGACTTTTCTATGTTAACAAGGAATTATATTTATGCAAATAGATAATCAAGTGTTCAATGAAAAGTTAAAGATAAAAACTCACAGAATAAGTAGAAAATGTTCAAGAGTTTTATGTTCTCAATTTCTATATAGATTAATAAATCATTATTTTCATTCTGAGCACTGTGACCATCCTGTCAATAAGATGAAATGATGGGTTTTGAAAATACGGCCTACAATCATCTCCAATCACAATGCAAAAATCTAAAATACTCATCATTAAGTTGACATACGTGGCTACTGAATCAAGATCATGCTCCCTAGCTTCTTGTTTCTTATGCCTCTGCATCTGTAGCTTATCCTGTTTCTCAAGCTTTGAGCCCAGAATCCTTTTCAACCGAGTTTCTTCTGTCTGCATGTTTTTCAGTTCCATTTGCTTTCTCTCCAACTCATTTTCTTCATTCCAAATCTGTAGAAGAGTCAAATGAAAACTGTAGCCCTGTAGTTGCTTTCACTTTTGAGCAATGGAAATGCTCAAACTTTAACAGCTCTTTAACTGAAGTGAACAAATTAGTAGACTGTTACAAGTTCTAAAAGTGTATCAAAAAATACCCTTCATATACAGTCTTGGCTTAATAAAGAATTTTCACAGGCAAGCCCATGAATATACATTAACCTAGCAACTGAGGAACCAGAAAATACTTTGGCTCTTTGAGCCATTACCATTGCTACATTCTACCTGCAACTTCCAACAGTATTCTTTGAAGACAGCTCCATTTCTAACTTCACAAAAGTTCAGAAAGATCTTAGAATGATGGTCAGTTTTGGGATCCCCCACATACTAGAAAACAATAGAGGTTTTAATGCAGGTCTAATGAAGACTCACATGCAAGATGTTGCTCCCAAATATGCTTTTGGATTTATTTCAGTGTATTTAATATTCCTGGTCCCTCGTTTTCTACTCTGCCTCAAACAGAAACATCTCTAAGTCTAACCCATAAATCCATTCATAAACATTTTAAAATCACTCCTCAGACTACCCTTAAAGGGACAACTCCCCCCAGCCTTTATTGTTCTCACAGATAGTTCTAATCTATCGGTTCTACTTTCATCCTTGCAGTTTCTCCTGCACTTCTAGATCTTTTTATTAGAGTCCATAACTGTGCATAATTACATATAATAAAAACTTGCATACCGGTCTCTCGAAAAACCTTTACAATCACTCAAATCCAAGCTCACCAACTTTAAACTGAAGAAAATCTGTGAATCTCTATGCTCAACAGCACATTTTCTACGCAAATCCAGAATTAGCAAAAGCTTTTAAAAATATTATACTGTATAAATATTTTGTTGAAAACAGTGGAATCTACTTACCTCAGTGTTCACGCTGCTTATAAGGTCAGAGCCAGTCTGGGATTGTTGCAATAAACTGCAGTAAGTTTCTAGTTCTTTGTTTTGGAAATTGGTAAGACTTGCCAACTTGTCCTGAAGTTCCATTGTTCTGTCATTTTTCTTTTGCTATCAAATACACACAAAACTGAATTACAATGGGCTAAGTTATCTTTGTTAGCTACCTCTACACAAGACAGATCAGCTGGTAATGCCCTTGCCAAGTGGCTGCTGGCATTATTCAGGACCCAGCAGTAATGAAAACCTGCAGGACAAGAGATACAAAGGTAGACAACGCACACTTCAGATTGGGCCATTTTACATTTTGTTCATTCTAAATGAATAATGCAACATATACATTTAGACACCAAGAATACTAATCAATGGTGTTACCACATGTCTAGGAATCATGGCTTTAATCAAGTTGTAAGTAGTTGCAACTCAATTTTTATTTGTTAATAAAGGACAGTACTATTTATGTTGTTGTTCGTGCCAGAAATATACTAGTTAATAACTGTCAATGCCTTAATTTCACTGATTCAACAGAGAAAACATAAAAATGGGCCTATTTGGAAACTGACACAGTTCCAAACTATAAACACTGCCATGATTATTGAAACGTAACTCAACTCTTCAGGGAGATTGTAAGTTTTGATCTAATTCAAAAGCAAAGCTGCAAGCTGAGGAAGATGCCACAATCTTTTAAAAAAAAAAGGACGGGGGGAAAAAATATGCGCACCAATAGCACAAATCCTGTTTTAGAAGAATGGAACGTTTGATCTCAAACGCTATCGACTATCACAATATTTTCATACACCTATCAGCATGCATTATCCTATGCAACAAAACATCCATGGGATTGGGGTGATTAAGCGGGAAGACACGAGAGAGAGAGTAGAAGGAGATTTTACCATGGCTTCCTTCTTCTTTTCTACTGTCTCCCTCATTGACTGTATTTCACTGTTCAGTTGTTCTGGGCATTCCACAATCAAAGGTCGGAGCTTTGCTTGGAGTTCTTTTGCATTGGCCATGTCCAATTTTAGCTGACCCTATTATTAACAAATGAAATTAGATTAGGGACAAAATAAAACACGGTTTTACAAGTCCTTTCAAATTACCAAAATGCTAATGCTACAACCATTCAGAATTCTGCCACTCAGTTTAATAATTGATATCTGCTGCAAAAGGCCACAAGGCACTTCAAATGAGGCGCAAGCATTCCCTTACAATTTTAACACACAAATGAAATACAAATATAAAGCTAATTAATTACACATAGCAATAACAACCTCCAATTGTTTATACACAAGATAAACTTGAAAACAAATCACATCTATTCATATCCAAGCATCTGTCCAGTCTCCTTGCTTACAAGTAGCCAAACAAAAGAACTTATGAGGCAAAAAGGTGGTAACTATAGGCTGATTAGCCTAACATCTATCGTTGCAAAAATGTTGGACTAATTAAGGAAGTAATAGCAGCTCATGTGGAAAATCATTAAATAATCAAGCAGAAGTTAGCATGGTTTCATGAAAGGGAAATTGTATCTGACTAATTTATCAGAGCATTTTGAGGAAATCTCAAACAGAGTGGATAGAGGGGAAACAGTAGACATGTTGTATTTGGACTCCCAGGGGTTGTTTAACAAAGTACCACACAAAAGGCTAAGTCATAAGACAGGAGCCATCACAGGTTGCATATTAATATGGATAGAGAATTGACTAATGGGCAGGAAACAGTAAATGAGGATGAAGGGTTCTTTTTCAGGGTGCAAACCTATAACCAACTAGGGTTCAAAAGAATCAGTGCTGGGACTGCAACTGTCCACAATAGATATTATTGACATGGAAGAATGAAACAAACATACTGTAGCTAAATTTGCAGACAACACAAAAATAGGTGAAAATGCAAGTTGCAAGAGGGATGCAAACACTTACACAAAAATCCAAGCCATCCCAGTCTACTCTCGATCATTAGTGAAGTGATGGAAGATGTCATCAACAGTGCTATCAAGCAGCACCTGCTCAGAAATAACTTGCGCCACTCAGTTCCTGACCTATTTACAGTTTTGGTTCAAATGTATGCAAAAGAGCTAAATTCCAGAGCTGAGGTGACAGTCGTTGGCATCAAGGCTGCATTTGACCAAGTGTGACATCAAGGAGCCCTAGCAAAACTGGAATAATTGGGTATCTGGGGGTGGGGTTGCCGCTGGTTGAGGTCATACCTGGCATGGGAAACATGGGAAAACAGCTGAGGTCGCTGGAAGTCAGTCACCGCAGCTCCAGGGCATCTCTGCAGGAGTTCCTCTGGTAGTGTCCCAAGCCCAACCATCTTCAGTTGCTTCATCAATGACCTTTCCTCCATCACAGAGTCAGAAATGGGGATGTTCACCAATGATCGTACAATGTTCAAGACCACTTGCAACTCCTCAGATACTGAAGTAGTCCATGTTCAAATGCAACCAGATCTGGACAATATCCAGGCTTAAGCTGACACGTGGCAATTATCATTCACACCATACAAATGCCAGACAATGACCATCTCCAATACGAGACAATGTAAACAACGCCCCTTGACACTCAATGGCGTTGCTATTGAAATCCCCACTATCAACGTCCTTGGGATTACCAGTGACTAGAAACTCAACTGGACTCACCACATAAACACAGTGGCTACAAAAGCAAGTTAGAAGCTAAGAATATTGCAGCAAGTAACTCGCCTCCCAACTCCCCAAAGCCTGTCCACCATCTACAAAGCACAAGTCAGGGGTGTGATGGAACACTCCCCACATGTGTGGATAGGTGCAGCTCCAAAACCATTCAGGACAAAACATCCCACTTGATTCGCACCACATCCACAAACATCCATTCCCTCCACCACCAATGTTCAGCAGCAGCATGTACTATCTACAAGATGTACTCCAGAAATTCAAAGATCCTTAGATAGCATCTTCAAAATCCATGACTATTTCTATTTAGATGGACAGGGCAGCAGAAACATGAGAACATAACTGCAAGTCCCTCTCCAAGCCACTCACCATCCTGACTTGGAAATAAATGACTATCCCTTCACTGATGCTTCAGTGGGTTAAATTCCCTCTCTAAGGGCATTGTGCATCAAACTATAGAACCTCACCACCTTCAAGTTCCCCTCCAAGCCACTCACCATCCTGACTTGGAAATATATCGCCATCCTTCACTTGTCACTGGGTCAAAATGCTGGAATTCCCTCTCTAATGCCATTATGGGTCAACCCATAGCAGGTGGACAGCAGCGGGTCAAGAAGGCAGTTCATCATCACGTTCTAAAGGGCAACTAGGGACAGGCAATAAATGATGGTCAGCCAGCGATGTCCATGTCCCACAAATGAATTTTAAAAGAATGACTTCAGTGGTTCGAGAAGGCAGTAAACCACCATCTTCTGAAGGGCAACTAGGGTCAGGCAATAGATGCTGGCCATCCATGATACCCAAATTTCACATGAATTTAATCAAAACTTTACAGAGATATTGATAAGTTAAGTAGGCGGGCAGAGATTCAGCTAATGGAGTACAAGGTGGGGAAAACGTAAAGTTGTTCATTTTGGAAGGGAGAACAAAAGAACAGAATAGAGGAAATAAATAAAAGATTACTGCAGAAAATTGCAACACAGTGGACTTGGGAGTATTTGTACACAAAAAAAGCTAGCACACAAGTGCAGCAGGTAATCAGGAAGGCTAATGGAATGTTGGCCCTTATTTCAAGGGATTTGGAGTACAAGAGTAAGGCTGTCTTATCACAACTGTACGAGATGCTGGTAAGATCATATCTGGAGTACTATGAGCAGTTTTGGTCATCTTATCTAAGAAAGGATATTATTTTACCAGAGGCTGTTCAGAGAAGGTCCACTAGGATGATGCCTGGTATGGAGGGATTGACTTACAAGCAAAGGCTAAACTGGTTGGGACTCTACTCATTAGAGCTAGAAGAATAAAAGGTGATCTCATTGAAATGTAGAGAATTCTTAAGTGGCTTGATAGGGTGAATGCTGAGAGGATGCTTCCCATATGGGAGAGTCTAGGACCAGAGGGCATAGTCTCATAATAAGGAGGGCACCAATATATGCCTGAGATGAGGAGGTATTCCTTCGTTCAGAGAGTTGTATGTCTTTGAAACTGTTTGCCAGAGAGAGCTGTGGGAGTCCTTGCATCTATTTAAGGCTGCAATAGATTACTGATCAGTAGGGGAACCAAGAGTTACAGAGAAAGGGCAGGAAAGTGGACATGAGGAATGTCAGATCAACCTTGATCCTATTGAATGGCAGAGCAGGCTAGAGGGACCGAATAGCCGACTCTTGTTCCTATTCCTTGGAGTCCTATTGTGGTCATCAGCACCATCACAGGAAACTGGCAGTTATGTAGGCATTTTCTTTAATGAGGTTGGTCAGTTTCACCTACAGATAAAGGTTCACATTTCACTTGGAAAACATGAAGTCACACAACATGAAAGAGCAGAAATTGCAAGGTAGAATAAAATATATACAAGTATGGGAATGAGAAGGCAAGGCAAGATCACATGCAAGTGAGCATGATAGCATTTAGTAGTCTTGTATGTTGTTAATAATTTGCTTGCAAGACTTTTTAATAATCAGGTTGCACGTACCCACTTTGAAATATAGCTATAATTTAGATACTAATATTAAATATTAAAAACTAACTTACCAACACTTTATTTTGCTCTGCAATTTCAGTCTTCAGCTGTGTAGTTGCATCTTGAACGGAATTCTGAACAAAATATAAAACAGTTCCATCTGTGTATTTTGAGATAGAGGTGCTTCTATGACTTTACACAGATAATCTGTACAGATCAAATCTGACTTGCAAACTTCCCTGATCCAGCAACTTTTCTAGAAATCTAACTTCAGTAGCTCTTGGGTGCATCAGTCCTTTGTATGACTGCAAGGCAGGCCAAGGACAAGGGTGAAAAATTGTTTAAGGTACGAAATAGATACTATTAAAGACAGAGGCTAATTAACACAGTAACAGATATAATACTCTCAAAGGACTTCTTTGAAAAATAGTTCAGAAGTGTCTATAGCTCATCATGACTTTTAAAGTTGCTCTGGTTGTTGAACCTGATGATGACCACACCCCCCAAAGTTAAAGAAAATGGGAAACATTTTCTGCCAGCTATTCATGCATATGTTTAAACAGTTAACTGTGGTCTGTAGTCATTTCAATTAATTGGCAAGAGGTCCATGTAGCCCTAACATTTAAGGGAATAAAATCAGAGTTTAGGAATTATAGGTTAATTACTTTGATTTCAGTTGTAAGGAAGGTATAGCCAATCATAATTAAAGAGGTTTCCTATGATCACTTTGTAACCATAGAGAAAGGGGTTTGTACATAAAACAGAGGACCAAATGAATCTGATCACTCTTTACTGCTTAAATATATCCAATTGGAGTGATTACTCAAAACATAGTAGCATGCTCAGTATTGAGAGGAAACAACAGTGGCTTTGAAAAGTAATTAATCATTAGAAATCATTGATCAGTTCCTTTCAAGAATTCAATGCTTCATTTGCTCTTATTTTGGTTGGTTATTGCTATTTTAATTGCAAGTCATTTGGTATGCCCTTTCTCTCCACGTTTTTCTTCAGATTTATTTACTTAGAATCATAGATTAGAATCATTGAATCCCTACATGCAGAAAGAGGCCATTCAGCCCATCAAGTCTGCATCAACCCTCCAAAGAGCATCCCACCCAGTCCCAGAACCCCAACCTATCCCCATAAAACTGCATTTCCCATGTCTAATCCATCTAACCAGCACATCTTTGGACTCCAGGAGCAAACCGGAGCACCTGGAGGAAACCCACACAGAGTCGGGGAGAAGGTGCAAACAGACAGACAGTCACTCAAGGCTAACTACTAAGCTACCATGCGGCTTTTATGTTATAAAAGTAATAACAACTTTGCACATAAGACTTAGCAGGGAAAATTAAGATCCATTACACTAGGCAAATGTTAAATAGAATTAATAACACTGAAACAGACCATTTGGCAAAACTAGTCAAAACAGGTATTTAGGCTCCACACAACACTAAACACAAGATGGCATGTTCAAGCACAATGCCAAATATGTACAGCAGCATGCAAGTGGGGAGGAATTAAGTATTACTCAAGGACAGAAGAATTAAGATGTCAGTCAGCTCATGGAAATGAGACTGCAGTATCCAGAGGTTTGTGGCAAGTCTGCTAATCAGATGCAATAAAAAGTATGCCTCTGTTATATTTCTGAAATGTATTTTAGGATACATTTTTGCTTTTTAATGTAGCGTTGCCTTTTTAAAACCCAGAAAATCAGGTTAACTACAACTTCTAAAAGTTGTTACATTTGATACAGCCCCCAATCTGACCTGAAACTTCCCCCCCCATCCCCTTAAAATAATACACCACATTTTCATAAGTTCCCTTTCTTTAGATTAGGTATAACCTGCCTGCCAGAAATTGATGTGTGCAAACTGCCTGTGTTTTACAGAATGGAGTAATAATTCTCTTAAAAGTAATTCATTGATTGTGGAACACTTTAGGATTCAATTCTATTTATTCAATTGTGTATGTGTGAACAATACAAAGGGAAAATTTGCTGCCTTTTATTTCAGAATAACATAATAGTGAACACAAACACACTCACTTGCTTGAGACGATATTCACGGTTTATGACTTGTTGCAATTCAGTTATTTCTGCAGACAGCACATCAATCTTTGCCTTTTGGTCAGGAGGTATGGTACTGCCAAAATTAAAAGGTTTCTGATATAAAATGTTCTTAATTCACTTCTTGAATTTGTACATATTTATAAGAGCAGAGAAACCAAGTTCAGGGCACAAATTTCAGAAGTAATACTGTAGGTACTAAATCTATTCCACCATATTTTTAAAAATAGATGACTCAACTGACAGCACTTCAGTGTGATAATATGCCGGGTTAAGATACAAATTTATCAGTACAAATATGATACCACAAAAATCTTGGCTCAGTTTTGTAACATCATGTTTGCTGAGCTAATTAGTACAGTACCCACCACAATATAAATTGGCTTACATAGCAAAATAACCATAAAGGAAAGAGTGAATATTTGTAAGTTGGGAGATTTTCTTAGAAAAGGAAAATAAAATGTAGTGAACTATAAACATGTAAATTAGGAAAGGAAAGAGCCATTTGGCTCTTTGACTCTGCTCCATCATTTGAGAAAACCATGGCTGTTTGGGTTTGAGGCCTCAAATCCACTTTTCTGATATCCCAAGTATTCTTTAACTACCTTGATGTGGTCTCACCAATTCCCTCTAGAACTGTAGCAGAAAGTAGTAGGAATTCTATGTTCTATTCCCCTCACAACAGAACATTCAATTTGCCACCCTGATCGGTTGTGCCTGCATCCCAACTTTTTGAGATTCCTGTACCAGGACATCCAGATACATTTGTACCTCAGAGTTTTGTTGTTTGAAAAAAATTTCACTTATGGAATGTCAGTTTCACTGGCTGGGTCAGCATTTTATTACTCATCCTAGCAGTCCTTGAGTGGTGAACTGCCTTCTTGAACTACTGCAAACCATTCGATATAGGTACATCCAGAATGCCATTAGGGAAAAGTTCCAGGATTTTGCCCCAACACTGAACAGGAATACAATTCCAAGTCAGGATGGTGACTGGCTTGGGAGGGAACTTCAGATGGTTCCCATGTATCTACTGCCTTTGCCCTTCTAGATGTTAGTAGTTGTGAGTTTAGAAGGCCTTACGAATTTCTGCAGCAGACCTTGTAGATGACACACGTTGCTACAGTGTGTTGGTGCTGGAGACAGTGAATGTGGAGAAAGCAAGAGGGAATTTACTGTGAAGCACGTGCTTTGCCCTGAATGGTGTCAAGCTTCTTTCCGTATTGCACTTAGCTGTACTCATCCAGACAAGTGAGGAGTACTCCTGAGTTATAGCTTACAGATGGTAGATAGGCTTTGGGAAGTTAGGTAATGAGTTCCCCACTGCAAGATGCTAGCCTTTGACTTGCTCTTGTAGCCACAATATTCATGTCGGAAAATACGAACAAGAGTAAGCCATTCAGCCCCTCGAAGTGATTCCGCCATTCAATGAGATCATGGCTTTTCTGAGGCCTAACTCCATATATCTGCCTTTGGCACATATCCCTTAATATCTTTGCTTAACAAAAAGTTACTTATCTCAGATTTAAAATAAACACTCTTTTCCACTGTTGATTGTGGAAGAGAGTTCCAAACCTTAATACCGTGTGTATAAAAATGGGTCCTAATATCCCTTATTCTGGCCCTAGTTTTTAAGACTCTGCCCCCAGTTCTAGAATCCTCAACCAGTGGAAACAGTTTATCTTATCTATTCTGCCTTTCCCTGTTAATATCTTGAAGACTTCAGTTAGATCTCTTCTTAACCTTCTAAATTCTAAGGAAAACCTTGTCCCTTGTCCAGTTCAATTTCAGGTCAATGGTAATTCTCAGAGAGTTGATTGTGGGGGATTCAGCAACGGTAACATCGTTGAATATCAAGGGACGATGCCTAGATTCTCTTTTTGGAGATGGTTACTGATTTGCACGTACGAAATTAATGTTACTCGCCATGTCAACCCAACCTGGATAATGTCCAGGTCTTGCTTCATACAGACATGGACTGCTTCAGTATCTCGCGAGTCACACATGACGAGTAATGTTGTGCAATTACCAGTGAACACCCATGATATTATGATGGAAGGAAGGTCATTAATGAAGCAGCTGAAGGTGGTTAGGGTCTGGGGAACTATCCTGTGAAACTTTTGCAGAGAGTCCTGGGATTGAGGTAATGGACCTCCAACAACCACAACCATCTTCCATTGTGCTAGGTACAACTTCAAACATCACTTCCATTTCAATAATATGCCTTTTATACTTCCTGCCAGTTGTCAATTTCACATTTTTGATGTAAATAGTTGAGGTCCTGTGGAAGTTTCAATCATTAAATCGTGCCAAACTTCAAACGACCTGTTTGTGCCTATGCTTGGTTTCCTGTTAGCTAACCAATCCTTCCTGTATCATGAACTCTTATTTTGCATTGTAACCTTGATGTGGCACCTCATCAAATGCCTTCTGAAAATCTAAATACATTATATCTATATTGCTGGTTACTTTCTCAAAGAGTACTAACAAATTAATCAAACACAATTTCCCCTTTACAAAATCACATTGATTCTGCCAAGTGCCCCATTGTGAATGTCCTTAGATTCAGCATTTTCCCTTTAACAGACATGAAGTTAATTTGCCTGTAGTTCTCTGCTTTCCATCTCATTTCTTGAATACAGGAGTCAATGTTTTTAGGTGGCTTTCTCTTGTCCTCCAATTTTACTGCACTATTATTGTTCTGGTTTTTAAAAATATTCTGTTCAAACTTCTGACCTGCCATTAAATCTTTGTAGCACTACACATGTTTTCCTTTCCAATATCATTTTCAACTTTCTTGAATGCCATGGATAGTGCATTCTTCCCCTGGAGTCTGTCTTTCTCAGTAATAAAAAGTAGCATGCTGCTAAAATAGTGTAGTGTTTCAGACAATGGACATTAAAGGTCAGTCATATTTTTATATGTAGGATGGTTACAGCACAGAAGGCCATTTAATCCATCACTTCTGTATGGCTCTCCAAAGCAGCAATTCACCCATTGCCACAGTCATGGCTTTTCTCCAAACATTGTCTTTTGAAAATAAACAATCTGATGTCCTCTTGAATACCTCAATTTAACCATCTTCCACCACATGCAGTGCATTGCAGATGTTAAACATTTCTGCACTGAAGATTTTCCTCAGGTCACTGTTACAGCTTTTGCAAATTACCTTTGATCTGTTTCCTCTTGATCCTATTATCAAAGGGAATTGTTTCTCCTCACCTGCCCTGTCCACGCTCATCACTATTTAAAATACTTCTGCCAAATCAACTCTGAACCTTTTGTTCTCCAAGGAAGACTCTCAAACTACATAATCAAAGTTTCTCCCCCTGGAATCATTCTTGTGAATCTCTTCGAAATCCTTAATAACTTCTGGCTTTCTCACTTAAAAAGTGTGATCCCAGAACATGATCGAATAGTCCCTTTGAAGCTGAATCAATGCCTCTCTGCTCCTGCACCCCCATTTAGAATCGTAATCTTTGCTTTGAATGGTATCTTTGTTATTTCTAACAAAATAAATCAATTAATAAATGCTAATTTATCCTATGATACTTATACAATATTTCTTCCAAATCATACAAGAGCAGTTGCTTTGTTTAATCATGATCCATGAAATGCACCAGGCCAGCACATTAAAATATCAATAAATTTCATTGAGACAATCACATACATAATACAGAAAAAAAATTCCACCAACTATTTATTGCTCTGAGTAAGTGCTCTAGTCATTATAATCAAGATATAATTTAGCATGAAATAGCAATGTATGGAATGTGCAGACTTGAAATGAGCTGATATCAAGCACCATCAAGACTTACTTAACATACAGGCCAATCCACAAGTCAGTTCAATTGAATGTGCTTATACATATCAACAGGTTAAATTGTATTGGGATCCACTTACTTAAGTCTTTCAATTTTGTATTTCATTTCTTCATTTGATGAAACCATCTGTTGCATCATCTCCAGATTCAATTTCTTTGGGGAACAAATACATTGGTAAACTTTTCTACTCGCCTTATACTTTCACAGTTTGCTACAGAGTTCATTTTGCTCAAGAAATATAAACATTGAAATAGCAACAGCATATATTGTAAAATAAAAACAAAATGCTGCAAATATTCAGAAAATCAGAGAGGCTCTGTGAAGAAAGAAACAGAGTTAACATTTTAGGTTCACAACCTTTCGTCAGAATGAGAAATTATGAGATACACCAGTTTTTAAGCAAGTACAGAAGAAGCAAAATTCCATACTGGTGCTTCAAGATGTTCCCTTTTCTTCAACGGAGTTTCCTTCATCATGGTTATCAGGACGCCTGACATGTCATTTCTTTTCTTTTTTATTTCTATTTCATTTCTTGCACTCACTCCATTCCCTCACTCACAGAAACAATTTATTCTTCTTCAGATTCTGCTTGACCTGTTATGTAATCTAGGGCTTTTTTGTTTTTATTTTAAAACCAGTGTCATTGTTTTGTTATTTTATTTGTAGCTTCAGTATTTTGCTTTGCAGTAAGATAAAGTTTCAAGTAATACAATGTAGAATACATACACTGGCTTTTCAGATGGAAATCATTAGAGAGAATCTGTATGTAAAATTACTTGTACAAATGTACAATTGATAAAACCAAAAAATGCTTAAACAAGAATCTTGAAGTTGGTAACTAGACCTTTTATTGTTTCCAGTTCACTTGGCCTACAGGATGAAAGAAATTAGACTGGTCAAACTTTAACCAATACTGATGTACAGCAGGTCCTTGAAAGATTAAATTCACTATTTCCGGGACTTAGATAAGTCGTACAAAGTAAGGACAAAATCTTGCTTTATAAATATTCTCATGAAACACCTCGTAATTTTGTTTTTATTTTAAATATGCTTTTTATTATTTATTCATTCAGGGGTTCTGGGCTTCACCAATTGCCCTCAAAAGGTGGTGGTGAGCTGCCTTCTTGAACTAGTGTAGTCCATTTGGTGTAGATACACCTTTAGTGCCATTAGGAGAGAGTTCCAGGATTTTGACTAGCGATGCTGAATGAATGGTGGTATTTTTCCAGGTCAGGATGGTGAGTATTTTGGAGGGGAAGTTGCAGGTGGTGTACCCATGTATTTGTTGCCTTTGCACTTCTAGATTGAAATGATCATGAGTTTGGAACATGCCAAGAAACTATGCTGAATTTCTGCAGAGCAAGATACATACACTGTTGTTTCTATGTGTCCATGGAGTCCATTTGAGAACGTGCTGCCAATCAAACAGGCTGCTTTGTTCTGGAATAGTGTCAAGTTTTAAGTGTTGTTGGAGCTACCCTCATCCAGCCAAGTAGGTGTATTCCGTTACATTCCTGACTTGTGCTTTGTAAATATTGGACAGGCTTTTGGGAGTTATTTGCTGCAGAATTCCTGGCCTCTGACCTGCTCTTGTGGCCACAATATCTATATGGTTGGTCCATTTAAGTTTCTGGTCAAAAGTAACACTCAGGTTGTTGCTATATAAATGCAATTTATTGTTATAGGTTTCCACAAACAATAGTCTTCCAAGGATTCAACATTTTTAAAATCATTAAAAAAGCGTTGGTTGGTGAAAATTAGAGAGAGAAAGAAAACTGTCAAGAGCTCATTCTCAAATTCTCATCTGGAATAACATGCCATGTAACCTCAAACACTATCAGAAAGTAAATAAATTTGATTGATAAAAACTAGACAATAAAAAACTAAATGAAAAAAATATCCACACGCAATAATTCCAAGTTAATTCGATCTTTCCATGTTTTTTGGTATAGAACTAACCAACCCAATCATTATTAGGGGAACCTTGCTGCACACACTGTTATACATTGACAAAAAAAGGATAACCTTGTAATCACAATCAACACTTACAAAACTTTTTTGTTGGTTCAGGTAAGTTTCGAGGGTTCTTTTTCTGAACTGAAGAAAGTTGATTATGCCACTCATGATGACAATGGTACCTTTTGATTCTATGTTTAAAATAAAAAAAAATTGGTGAATCAGATCAACTATTGAGAAAAAACATCCTATTTAAGATTCCTGCAAAATTCAAGTGCAGCACTTTGAGATTAAACACTTTGAAGTAGTTTTGAATATATAGTTATAGTTGAAAGTAACAAATACAGCAAAATAAGTTATTCATACTTTGTGCACTTGAATAAAGCACAATTTTCCTGTCACATTTCAGAAGTATATTTTGTTTGCTTCAACAATTAAATTTGATAACAGCAAAGTATGTTTTACTTCAGTTAATCAAAATTGGAATCCAAAATATATATTGTCCCGAGATTTGGTATATCCATTTACAAGGGCTTGCATTTATCATGTATATATCTCTACACACACATTGAATCTAGAACTTAAGTTAAAAAAGTGGAAAACTTACTAGGATTCAAGAGATCACTCATCTCAAAATATGGAATTGCGCAGAGTGATTTTAAATTATGCCTGGAACACAGAAAAACAATTTAAACAAAAGTGTTAGTTTAGACAGTGTTACAGGATTTCTCAAATAAAAATTCAGCACATGCATAACAGTACTCATAAGACTATACAATACAGGAGCAGAATACGGCCACTTCTCAAAACCATTCTCCTGCTTTCTCCCCATAACAATCAAGAACCTATCTCTCTCTGTCATAAATACACTCAATGACTTTGCCACAGAAGCCTGTAGAAGCTATAAATTCCACAGATTAATTACCCTCTGCTGAAGAAATTATTCCTCATCTCATTTCTAAAGGGTCATCCCTTCACTCGTAGGCTATGCTCTCAGGTCCTAGTCGCTCCTACCAGTGGAAACATCATCTTCACGTCTACTCTATCCAGGCCTCTTGGTATTCTGCAAGTTTCAATGTGATCCCACTCATCCTTCTAAACTTCATAGAGCACAGACCCAGAATCCTGTGGGTCTGGAGTCACATATAGGCCAAACCAGGTAAAGTTGACTAAATTCTTTCTCTAAAAGACATCGGTGACCCAGATGAATTTTTATGACAATATACAGTGGTTATATGGTGATCATGAGGCTAATCTTTTAATTCCAGACTTTTGTTTTAAGCTGTCATGGTGCAATTCTAACCTATATCCTCAGAAAATTACCCTGGGGCTCTGGATTAATAGCCCAGTGACATAACTACTACACCAGCACCTCCGCTTGCACAGTACAGACAAAAGTATTAAGAATGGTATCGTACTATTTTTGGCCAAGTCTGAGTTGTGTCAGGTTTGAGGGTTTCTTACTGAAAGACCAAGGAGGTTTTTTTTGCATATTTTACCAAACTTGCCTCATTAATTACCTACCCTATCTCTCTGGTGTTTCTTCTGTCACATTTCTATCCCATCACAATACACACCATTCCTGGAACACCTAGCGAACATCTGTCAAAACATTGGAGCCCCTTCCATCAGTGCCATCTTTAAAAGCAATGCAGTAGACCCAGAGAAACAGTGGCATTATGAAGCTCCTCTGCTCGATCAAGGACGTGTGGATAAGATGACAGAGAAGAGAATGACCTGTTTCTCTGACAGGGATCTGGAGGCCGAGATGGACAGTGCTACCAAGAACTGCCATGTTTCCAAAGGATCACCACAAAAGGCCAAGCCAGCCTGATCAAAGGTCGTCACTCAGTTAAGTACAAGAGGGTGCAGAGGAATGACCAGCAATTGAGAAAAAAAGATTAATGATCCTCTCTGCTCTCACACCTTAATATATCCGTGCCATTGCATAGACATTCCAAGGCTCATATTCCACCACCCTCACTCTGGTTGCCTGCAACACCTTCCTTCAAACCACCCTCCCCACTTAGCCTGCGACAGGACTAATGCTGCATGCCCTCTGGGCTGCCCCCTCATTCCTTCATAACATCTCACCACCTTTCCCGCTCATGCAGCACCCTATGGAGGGGAAAATACAGAAACATTCATGTCCTGTCGATTGAGTGTGTACCACTCAAAATGCCACTGCCACTCCCATTAATCATGCTGTCAGTCTCGTTCATTTCATTACACGCCACACATAACTGTAGGTCACAACACTTTCACTCATGTTGCAGGTTCTGCAAGCCTGTAGAAAAGTGGCTAGAGGCAAAAGAACCGCCCTCCTGTTCCTGAGGGAGGTTGAAAGTTTGAAGGCCACTCTCACTCTCACACACACGGACTCCAAGTTGATACACAGCCAGATTCTAAACAAGGCCTCACACCTGAAATGCATTGTCTAACCTGGGATGTCACCTCTGGTATACTGGGGGAATAGATAAAACCTTTAGTTATCACAGGGCAGAGACTTGAAAGAAATTATGGAATTTGCATATTAATCCTTTCTAACTGATTAAAGAATAAACAGCCATCTTAGGCTTGTTCAACACTGTATCAGTTCTGTGACCCTTTGATTTTTTGCTTATAAATTCGGTGTCCAGTGCCACCTCTCTCACTGACATCTGAAGAAGGAGTGAGACTCTGAAAGCTTGGGTCTTCAAGTAAACCTGTTGGACTATAACCTGGTGTCATGTGATTTTTGACCTTGCCCACCCCAACTCCAACACCTCCACACCATAATATTGCTGAAAACAGTTATATAAAAAAAAATTTAAAAGTGCACTAGAAGTATAAAGTCAGACCTGGAGTATTTAAACTGGATACTACTTTTATTGTATTTTTAAAAGCATTTTTATTGCCCAACGGTCACAGAATCTTAGAGATATGTGGAGCTGATTCCAAGTCTGTAATCCTCAACCTCCAAAAATTTATACAAAAGTCAATGTTCAATTTCTGGACTTCATTAAAACCAAATTCAAATGCAAGATCCATCTCATGTTGCATGTTGAAATTAATTTACGATAGTTGCATTGAAGATTGCACCAAAACTCTGAAAACCATTTACACCACTTCTACTCATCATTCATTCAATGTGATCACTAATCTGATGAAGATTAAATTTCACGACAGTTCATGAATATTAGAATGACATTTTTCCAGTACTGTTCAAAATAGATTGAAAGTTGAATAATAAGGATGTCTAAATGACAACCAAATTCAATATAGTAACAAGTACACAAACTGAATAAATGTTGGTTACAGAGAAATTGACAGTCACCATCTATGTAATTAACAGAGCTCCAAAAAACATCTTTGATTTTCATGTGTCCAAGATATCTTATTCTAAAAGATTTCTAATACTTACATGCAAACATAAAGATTCAGAAGTGGGATAAAACCTTCAGAAAGTTGAGGATATGGCATGTTTTCATCTCCAGGCATCTATGAGTACAATAGGCATATTTATAACTTTAGAAGTGCTTAAAAATGTACAATCCACTTTCATAAAAGCACTTTTCAGATGCTGGCCAAGAGAAAGTTACATGCAAAAAGAAATGTTTCATAATGTTGAAGTCAAGAACTGTGGAACACTTGCCAAGGATAAATGTTACAAACAAAGAAACAATATTCATACAACTCAAATATTCCATGCATTTGATAACTTCATGACACATGTAATGCATTCTGACTTCACTCTAGATATTATCCTGCTAGCTCTAAATACTAACGAACCAAATGTATTATAATACCTTCCTAGCTCCCTTAGGTGACCATGCAAGGAACTGTTCAACATTGATTGATTTAATGAAATTCATGAATCAGTCCATTTGTACACCAGGATCAACTGTAAAAAGTCAGAAAGAATAATAACATCTGATTTCTCCATGGAAATAAGGCCAAGCATTGCACTTGAGAGAGGCTAATTGATATATTCAAATTCATTGTTTACTCTGCCAGATACCTAACAAAGCCCTATTCATGTATACTTGTCAATTTTCAGTGGTAACATTGGGAAACCAGATTACAACTAACCCTACCGGCATACTCCAGCTGAATGAATGCAGAAGTGGAGAACAATGAATACACATTTGCTTTTTCCTTTGAAAGAAATGGGATGAATACTAACCATGTAAAAGCAATCTGGACGTGCATCAAAAACAATCTGTAGACATCTCATGTACAGTCTCTGTACAGCTTCTGGCTGTTGAAAAATTTTTTAAAAGTCAGTGTACCAGAACGATTAAGCTGAAATATTTAATTTTCAATACATGTAAAGTATCAGCATTGTTGTAATAATTAGCTAAGAAACTGGGTAATATTCGCTCCTAAATATTCTAACTCAGGTCAATAAACTGCTTGCGAAATTTTGGGTTTCAGGTAAAGCTTACAGTTTTCTTCTTTCATTTTGGTTCTATAACAAATTCATAAAATATCTTCCGGTAAGATGGCGGCAGAATAGGACACTCCAGCTGGAGCTCGTCCACTCCACCCATTCTTTTTTTTCTCTCCCTCTTTTCCTCCCTTCTCTCGGCCTTGGACACCTGGCCTGGGCCTGCGACTCCAGGCCTCTGAAGCAGGGTCGGTGGCCCGGAGTGGGGGTGCCTGCGGCCCAGTGCGGGGCGTGGCGTCAACAGCCCAGTGTGCAGCGTGGCAGCAGCCAGCAGTCAGACCACGTGGAGACCCTCTGCGCTGGTCTGCTGCAGACAGCCCTTGGAGAGAGACTATATGCTTATCTTTTTAACTTCGCTTCTTGTTTTTCTGACCCATGGTTATACTGTGTATAGCTGTTATGTAACTTTTTTTCTTCATTTCTCTATTCTGTAAATAAGAATTGTACCTAGGTACTCTGCACCCAAGATGGAGCCATGTGTTGGTGACGTTTTTATACTGTAACTAATCTTGTAACTGAAGAAACTGTACCTAGGTATCTTTGTACCTAAGTGGCAACTTATAAACTTTTCACTGTACTTATTTGAGTGCATGACAATAAATTTATTTAATTCAAAAAAAGTGTAGCAGCTGGTGCATTACATTTACATACTGGACATATTCCTATAATAGTACCTTACATAGAATAAAACTGTATTTTTAAAAAATATGCAAGCCCAATATCTAACATAATATATGAATGTAGAAGAGTTTGTTGGCACCAATTTCTTTAAATAAACCATATTGTGTTTGTTTAGTGTTTCAACGACATACTTCACTCACTTTACATTCAATCTTGTGGCTTTTATCAGGATAACTATTCTATTTTTGTTAGGATCTGAAGAGGGCCTTCAGCCCGTCAAGTCTCCTAAAAATATACTACTACCTACACTAGTCCCACCTCGCCACACTAGGCCAATAGCTTGAATGCTATGACACTTCAAGTGTTCATTCAAGTACTTTTAAAAGGTTGTGAGGTTTCCCACCTCAACTACCCTCCCAGACAGAGGCAGATGATGTAATTTATATGGATTTTAGCAAGCCCTTTGACAATTCATTCCAGACCCCCCCACCATCCTCTTGGTGGAAAAGGTTTGCCTCAAATCCCCTCTAAACCTCCTGCCTTTCACTTTAACAATGCGCCCCCTTGTTACTGACTCTTCAATTAAGGGAGAACAGCTGCTTTCTAGTCACACTGTCCATACCCCCTCATAATCTTCTACAGCTCAGTCAGTTCCCCTTCAACCTTCTCTGCTCCAAAGAAAACAATCAGAGTTTATCCAGCCTCTCTTCATAGCTGAAATGCTCCATCCCAAGCAACATCTTGGTGAATCTCCTTTGCATTCCCTCCAGTGCAATCACAGCCTTACTATAGTGTGGTGACTACAGTGTGCACACAGTACTCCAACTATGGCGTAACCAAAGTTCTGTACAGTTCCAACATGCCCTCCCTGCTCTTGTAATCTATACCACAACTAGCGAAGGCAAATGTTGCGTATGACTTCTTAACCACCCTATTAACCTGTCTGCCTCCTTCAGGGCTCTGTGGACAAGGACCCCAAGATCCCTCGATTCCTCAGAGCTTCCTAATGTCTTGCCATTTATTGCATTCTCACTCCTTTGCCTTGTTCCTTCTTCCAAAGTGCATCACCTCCTATTTATGAGGGTTAAATTCCATCTACCAGTGATTTGCCCATCTGACCAATCCATTAATAATATCCTCCTGTAAGCCAACACATTCCCCCTCACCGTCAACCACCCAGCCAATCTCATGTCATCTGAAAACTTCCTTACCACTTGTCCCACATCTACATCATTTATCTATATCACAAATAAAGGGGCCCCGCACTGAGCCCTGTGGTACTCCACTGCACACCAGGTTCAGTCACACAAACAGCCTTCTCCTACCACCATACCAATTTTGGATCCATCTTGCCAAACTATCCTGAATCCCATCAGTTTTTCCCTTTTTTTTAATCAGCTTTCCATGTGGGACTTCGTCAAAGGGCTTGCTAAAATCCATATAAATTACATCATCTGCCCTACCCTCATCCAAACATGATCACTTCCTTCAAAAAATTCCATCAGATTTGTTAGGCATGAACTTCCTCTGACAAAGCTGTGCTGACTATCCCTGATCAAACCTTGCCTCTCTAAATGGAGACAAATTTTATCCTTTACTATTTTCTCCAATAGTTTCCCTACCACTGATGTTAGACTCACTAATCTATAGTTCCCGAATTTATCTGTACTACTCTTCTAGTGAAGTAGAACTATATTAGTTGTCTTCTGGCACCTCCTGTAGCCAGGGACAATTTAAAAACTTAGGTCAGGGCCCCTGTAATCCTCTCCCTCATCTCCCACAGCAGCTTGGGAGACAAGACTTCCGGGCCTGGGGATTTGTCCACTTTTAAATCCACCAAAATCTCCGATACTGCCTCAATTCTTAAATCCATCTGTCCAAGAACTTCACAGGCCATCTTCTCAAATTCGGCATTTGCATCCTTCTTCTCCCCAATAAGACAGGTGTGAAGTCCCCATTTAACATTCTACCAACGTCCTCCAGCTTCACGCACAGATTACTCCGTTGGTCCCTCATAGGCTCTACTCTTACCCCGGTTATTCTCCTCCCCTTGAAATACTTGTAGAATATCTTCGGATTCTTCCCAATTGTCTTCTCATGACCCCTCTGTTGCTCTCCTGATTTCTTTCAAGTTACCCCTGCATTTCCCATGCTCCTCCACAGCCTCCATTGCTTTGCTCCTCTGCACGTGTTACACTTCTCTCTTTTCCATTTTATCCTGTCTCGAATATTCCTAGACGTCCATGGTTCTGCGCGCTTATTGCTCCTACATTTCACCCTAAAGGGAACATTGGCCCTGCACTCCCCTGGAACCTTTCTGAATGCTTCCCACTGTTCTGCTGTGGATTTACCCCCAAGTAGCTGTCTGTTCCCAGTCTATTTTGGCTAGATCCTGCTTTATTTTAATAAAATCTGTCTTATCCTAATCCAAAACTCTATTTTTGCAGATTATCTTTCTCCTTTTCCATAACAAATTTAAAAGGCATGATATTGTCACTGTCACTAAAATGCTCTCCCACTGTCACTTCGAACACGTGTCCAATTTAATTCCCTGCACTGCATTGTCAACATCTACATGTTGACATAAAAAGATTTCCTGCATACATTAAGAAATCTGCTCCTCTAAATTGTGTTTAATAGAGGTAGTTGAAATTCCCTAATATGACTACCCTACTATGTTTACCCACCTTAGTGAATTGACTGCACATCTGCTCTTCAATTGCCCACTGTTTAAGGCCTATAATACACTACTAAGACTGTGACTGTTTCCATTTTATTCCCAAGATCTACTCACAATGTTTCATTTGATGAGCCCTCCAAGATACCATCCCTCATTTTTGCAGTAACTGACTCCTTAACTAATAACGCAACACCACCTATACATTTGTACCCTCCCCTATCCTGCCTCAAGTTCCTATACTCCTGATTGTTAAGTTGTCAGTCTTGTCCCTCCCTCAATCATGTCTCCACCATGTTGTTGCCATGTATCAATCCATGCCCTTAACTCATCTGTTTTACCTTTAATACATCTGGCACTAAGGTAACAGCCATCTAGCCTCACCTTACACCCTTGAAACATCAGATGGCTGAACCCACTCTGCCTTGGCACCTTTTCTAAGTTATGCTGTGCTGTTATTAAACTAACGCATTGTGTGCCCTGCCCCTGCTGAACTAGTTTAAATTCCGACTAACAATACTAGCAAACCATCCCACAAGGATGCCCAATTCCGGTTCAGGTGTGGACCATTCCACTTGTAGGAGATCCCATTTTCCCCCAGAAACTGTCCCAGTGATCCAGGAATCTAAATCCCTCCTTCGTGCACTAACTCTTGAGCAAAATCAAAAATCAAACCAATTTTCTAGGTTCCAAACCAAACATTGTTTTACTCTTAGAAAATCTCTTACAATTTTTTTTCTCTAGGAACAGGATTAGGCCATTAAGCCCTCAAGCCCGCCTTGCCATTCAATACAATCAATACTGATCGAACACTTTTACCTATCTCATCACCTATATGATGTTGGTAATCAAAAATTAATTAATTCTCTATGACCTTCCATAGGCCTCCATGATATAGAGTTACAAAAGGTTCACAACCGCCTGAATAAAAAAAAAAATCTCACCTCAGACTTAAGTAGCATCCCTTTTATTTTTAAATTGCATTCCCAGTTTCAGACTCCCTGACCAGAGGAAACATCTTAGCCAGGCTAGAAGTAGGTATATCTTTAAAAATTTCTAAACATGTATCTCTCCCTAAATTCCAAAGGTTAGGATCTCTCACTGCAACAATTAAGCCTCCAAGTCATGACTTAAGATACCTGTGAAAAGTTACCAACACCAATTCAAATTTACTTTATTATAAATTTACAAATATCTTGAGGAAAAAAAGTCAATCATTTAACTATGTTGCCTAATCTTAGGTAGGAGTCACCTGTGAAGTGTACATTTCCCTATACTAGCATTAAAAGATTGTAAATAGCCTTAGGTCAATGCTTCTCTATAGCAATTAAACGATTGGCCTTACAAAGGACATAACTCCACTTTAGCAGAATACGATTTGCATGACATTGTTTAGTACAGCTGTCCATATAAAGCAATGCATCCTAGAGTGCAAACAACAGCTAAAATAATAGTAAAATGCTTACCTTTGATAGGTCAGCTTTTGTGAAGTTGTTGGCTTCTGATCCACTTAAAATGTGTTTGCGACAATAACTCACAATATAATCCAATTTGCAAATTGGATATGGAAGTCTGTTCTCCCCCTCCATTTGGGCTAACAAGGAAACAGTGTTATTTTAGAAATCAGTGTCTTTGCTTAGGACCAAACCTTTGTACTGGAGCCAAGCAAGATATCATAATTGCTCCCAAATTTGCTAACATACCAACACTTTAATTTTATTTCTCATTCTTTTGAGCATAGATCACCCCTACACAAAAACACAGCAACAACTAGGAGACAAACTCCCATTCAGCACATCAGAAGTGAGCTTCACATGCCCAAGATCTTTGAGACCATATGTGAGGGCTTGTGAATTTTAACTATTGATTTTTGATTGCCTGGACCTTCATAACTCCGCCAGAGAAGGATGAAATTTTGCACAAAAAGAAGAGGAAACACTAAAAAGGAAGGTGACACTGAAAGTTAAGTTAGTGTCTCCCTATTTATTCATCAACCATGGATTAGTTTCCTGGGGTTTCGCTCAGAGTAATGGGTTGAGTGGTTTCTTCTTTGATAGTTACCCTACACTTCATGGAACTGTTAATGTTGACTGTTTTCTGCAGCTGAACAGTACATAAAATAAAAGATGTGCAAAAAAGCTCCTGTCTAAACCATTTCACATTTGCGGTTTTATCCTTGGTTGAGGTTCCAAATATTTAGTTAAAAAATGAACAGCCAATTAACTTTAAAAAAAAAATCCTCCAGTTATAAATAATAGTGTTATGCAAAGTAACAAAGCACAAATAGCAAATATCTAATACACTATGACAGTAAGGGAAAGAAGCAGCAGGGAAAGAATAAGCACAGGGAAGAATTTGGAATAAGGCATCAAATGTTGAGAACACTTCACTCACTAAGCTGCCTCAAAATAAGCAATTAAAAAAAGGGCCTTCAGATGATCTATTATAGCTTTCGTTGTTGGCTAATATGGGGGAAGTTTAACAAAGAAGGAAGGATGGCAACTTAACATTGGTTAAGTATTAAGAAAATACATTTTCCTCCTGAAATCTATTCATCAAATTTGATACGTCAATCACATCTTAGACACATAATAGCATATAGTAAGATTTTTTTAAAAATATATCCAACAGTGGATACAGAAATCAAAGGGGTAATAGAGCTGCGGTTGGAAATTTGATTCTGAACACCATCACATTTTAAAAGTAGCTAAATGAAATATCCGAGATCTATGGCATAGTTTAAATTTTTATGAAATAATATAATAACTCTATAATTCTATAAAAATTACATGCATCTGCACTATTTGTAAAAATACCTGGCTGACATTATAGCTCTCATTGATAGGACTAGACCCTAACAGACACAACAAGGCAGCTGCAGATAAGCATTTTTTTTATGTCCAATCTCAATTCTCAATAACAGATGTAATCACAGACCTTCGTGAGAAAACTGCTACCTACAGCAAGGTTTGCAAATAAAATATAATCCTCACTCGCTGTTTCTACTCAATCACTTAACACAAAATTAATTACCTAGTAACACTTGATGCTTCCACATAGCGGTTGGGGAAGTGCAATTTTTAAAAAATTCATTCATGGGTTGCGGGTGTCACTGACTAGGCCAGCACTTAGCACTGCCCATTCATAACTGAGAAAGTTAACAGTCAACTGCATTGCCATGGTCTAGAGTCATATATAGACAGACCAGGAAAGGACAGCAGTTTCCTTCCCTAAAGGACATTAGTGAACCAGATGTATTTTTTTTGGCCTGACAATCTACAATGGTTTCATGATCATCATTAGCCTCTGAATTCCAGATTTTTGTTGAATTCAAAATCCCACCATCCACAGGATTCAAACCCTGAACATTATCTGGGTCTTTGGATTAATAGTTTAGCCACAAGATCATTGCCTCCCCTATTGGTTTAGATATCTACAATTCAAACCATCTATTTATCAATCACATGCAAAAACTGGTTAAGATATTTATCCTAATCTTTAAACTGAGCTGCATAATAAAACTTTGCAAATAAATTAAATTTGTGGTATCAACAAAACTACACTGATGAACTTTAATATTTTAGTAGTTTAATTTCTACTTTGGCACTAAATTGCTAATCAAAGTACTACTTTTTGCAAATTCCAGTCCTGTCTTCAGTCTTTGCCTTGTGCCCTGAAACCTCTATTGTTCATGAGCATGACAGAACAGTTAAACAGACCACATTGACCAAACTGGAGAGATGAGCTTTGGTTTTAAGTCTATGCATTAATTACTTTTGCATTTTACTAATCACTTAAATTGTGCAAATGTTCTTTTGTTTCATACTACTGAATGCAAACTGGTTGAGTGCCAAGTTTAAGAACAGGAAGGCATGATGGGAAATTCATTCAAAACAGACTTGCTAAAAATCAGCAACACATTTAAATCCGTGCTGGTGCCGAGAAAAAAAAAAAACATGGGGCACCTTCGTGTCCATGTTAAGGACATAAAAATTCCTCCTCTGCTCCAGCATTAGAGATTCATAGGTTGTTAAGGAAATAACACACCAGACAACTGCCTGTGTTTGTTGACATATAGCACTAGGATGGGGCCAGAGAGACTGCACATCTGGCAAGTGCATCAGACAGAATAGTGACGCAATTAAAATATACTTAGTTTTACTTTAATTCCTGTTCATCGATATTGCTTTGAAGATTTTTCATCTTTGAAATGCGGTCAACCGGCTAAAAAAGCTGTAGACCTCATTTCCCCTCAATCTTCAATTACTGTTGTATGAAAGCCAAATTATTTTGGAAATGGTTCAATAACAAGGGAACTTTTCATTTAAGGCCAAAAAAACAGTCCTGAATTTGCTACACTTCACTTTCTCAAAGATATTTTAAGAAATGCAAACAAATGAAAGTTGCATGCACAAAGATAGCCTTGATTTTTATTGGTTTACGTGTTATAGAAACTTAAAATTTGCATTGCAAACTGCAAGGTTTTGAGTGGATTAAGTGAACAGGCCTATATATAATGATTTGTCACCGACCTTGGTGACACCCCCAAACTGTTATTAGCCAGTCTAATCCTAGTTAATCCACACTGGTTTGTTAGCCTCTGCTGCCTGACATAAGGTATCAGCTCCCTCAGGTAAATCAGTGGAAAGTATTCTGCATTTCCATCCCTGTAGCCTCCTCCAGCATCCAGCCTTCCAAAAGATAGGATGGGGAATAGGACAGAATAGAAACTAGGAACAGGACAGTGTTGAACAGCATATCCTCTATTGTCAGCTTTTATATGTAACTCAGTGCAAAGTCAGTCGTGCAGTCCTATACCTGTATCCTCCTCCATCATCCAGCCTTTCAAAACATGCCACTCCTACATTTAAATGCAAAATGAATATAACGGAATAGAGAATAGGAGAGAGTAGAAAGCAGAAGATGAACCAGAGCAGAAGTTAGAATAGAATAGAGATTAGGATAGAATATCCTCTATTATCACATCTTATATGTAAGTCAGTGGAAAGTCATGTGCACTCCTACACCTGTAACCTCCTCCACCGTCCGTCCGTCCATCCATCCTTCCAAAACATGCCACTTCTGTGCCCACACCCACGTTTAAATGACAAGTGTTTGAGCCAAGCTTTCAGATCACTCAGTTTGAAGGTATATGGTGGTTATTGGTGGGAAAGGCACTTGCTGAGGGTAGCTAGTGGGTTTAAAAATCAAGTAAAGTTTGAGAATGCACCAAGAGGCCAGACCCTGACACAGCCCAAGCACCAGAAGCGGGTTCCCTTGCCCCGCCCCCTCCCATTTTTAATTTGAAAAGAAAGAATACATTTCTAAACGCAAGAGATTTCGCGGCTGAAGAAACGAGGTTGCAAAATTAAAAAAGGAGAAAAAGGGCAAACAGCTGCAAAGTGGTGGGAGAAAAATAAGAATTAGCAGCGTTGCCGCAACCGACAAGAATTAATTCACGTTCAAACGACAACCCTCCGCTGTCCCAAACTGAAATAAAACCTCCGCCGAACGAGGGCCGGAGGTAACAAATAAACAGGACATACCGTCCACAATCCCAGCTTTTTAACCTTTAATAAATTTTCCCGCCGTCTCCGCTCAAAACTTTTAACTTGGCGCCGGCAGCGTCAACGGCCGACGTGGTGAGTTCGCCACGCATGCGCGGCCCGTGCCGGTACCCTCCTCCCCCCGCCGCAGCACTAGGCGTCGCTGTGCTGCCCCCTTTCTCCGGTCCCATTTACCCCAGCCTACCCTGTGTAAGAGAGAGGGGGCATGACTCTTCTGTTATCACAAACCCAATCGTAAAAGCCAGATGATGGCAGACTGAAATTCAGAAACAAATAAAAACCACCAGCTGAATGTTGATTTCTAAACACCAGACTTGCAGCATCCGTCCTCTCACCCCAACTCGAAATGAACTGGCTAACTGCAAGTCTCTCGATTGATTAAGAACCGAAAGAACTGCGGATGCTGTAAATCAGGAACAAAAACAAAATTGACGGAAGAGCTCAGCAGGTCTGGCAGCACCTGTGAAGAAAAATTTAAGGTTTCGTGTCCCGTGACCCTTCCTCAGAACTGAGGGATCTGAGGAATGGTCACCGGACCCGAAACGTTAACTCTGTTTTTTCCTTCACAGGTGCTGCCAGATCTGCTGAGCTCTTCCGTCAACTTTGTTTTTGTTCCTGATTTACAGCATCGGCAGTTCTTTCGGTTCTTAATCAACCGAGAGACTTGCAGTTAAGCCAGTTCACTTTGAGTTGGGGTGAGAGGGCGGATGCTGCAAGTCTTCTGTTTACAAATCAACATTCAGCTGGTCGTTTTTATTTGTTTCTGAACCTTGTCTGCCCACTGGTCAGGGGCTGTCTATGCCTCTGCACATGGGAGTCAGAGGGGCACCAATATCATGAGGCTGTGATAGAACTAGGGCAAGGAGGACAACAAACAGGCTGGTATTCCCATTTACAGAAGCACTACACAGTTTAAAAGGGTTTAAAAGCTTAGATTAACTATCAGCACACCAGGTTTTTCCAAAGATTGTGTCTGACAAACAGCTGGTTGTAGACCAGTGCAAAATGCTGGAGAAGTCGCTGTGACCACTAGGATATGGCAGGGCAGGATAACCACGATACTCAACTGTATTGCCTTTGTTCCAGGCATCTTTTGGAGTCCGTGGAATCTCTCAGCAGTACATTGCTCCATCAGTCAGTTGATGCATGCCACGGTCCAAAGGGCAGGCCAATAAATACAGCGGGTATCTGACCCAGTCAGGTCAGCTAGGCCGAGAGCTATTTGAATTCAGGCATCACTGGGATTTTTGGTGAATTTACCTCCTGCGGACTGCAGATGTTCAAGAAGGTGGCTGACCGCTACCCTTCTCAAGGGCAATTAGGCATGAGCTAAAAATGCCAGCTTGGCTAGTAATACCCGAAACATGAGGGAATAAATGGCTTGCTTCTGCACTACACATTCTACAAAAAGCAGGGATGCTAACCCATTGCCCGGCCCAATATTTATCCTTCAATCAACATCTACAGAGCAGATTATCCTCCCTTATCACATCGCTGTTTGAGGGAATTTTGGGCGGGGGGCAGATGGTCTGCATTTCGAACTTCACGATGGCGACTGCACTTCAAAGAGAGGAGGACTGCATCGGTCTTGAAAGACAACGTTTGTCTGGGTGACAGGCGCTACATCGATGCGGCGTAGCCTTTGGGCCGGGCTGAGGTTGAGAAAGGTGAAGCCGCACGGTGGAGGCGGTGACCTATTGTTTGACGGGCAGCCGGAACATCCAATCGGAACCAGGAGGTGGGACTGAGTGACGTCACGCGCCTGTTTTTTTATAACGGCCGCTTGGGGGCGGGGCAAAGTGCGGGTGCGCATGCGTGCGGCCCAGTCCTTGTCCGTCCAGCGGCTGCGGAGCGGGAGCGAGCCTGCGGCCTTGTTTACAGGCCGAGGTGGGGGGGCCGCCTGCCGAATCGAGCCAAGCCGAGCTGGGCCGGGAGCCAGCTAGCGGCCGTCCCGCAACATAACACCATTACCATCCCCGACCTTTTCCAACAAGCTCCGCTCCAGGCAAATGGCGACCTACGTCGGAGCGAGGCCTAGGGGCCCGAGGCCCAGGGGCAGGTATCATGCGGCGGGCGGCTGGTACTCGGAACAAGACCGGCTCGGCAGCAACCTGCCGCCGCTCGGCGTCTTCCAGGCGAACGGGCGGCTGTGGCGGGCGCAGCGCTGCCTCGGTAAAGGCTCGTCGGCCGCCGTCTACCAGGTGACGTCGGGGGCGGCCCGGGCAGCCGTCAAACAGTTCGTGCACGACACCAAGTCGGACTACGGTTTTTTGACTGAGAGCGGGGTCCTGGAGGATCTTCAGGGCCATAGGAATATCGGTAAATGGAGCGGGATCGGGGAGGGAGACGTTGTGCCAGCCTGAGTTCAGGGTGTGCAGTCAAGCCAGAAACAACCCTGGCCGCTGTCAGAGTTTCCCCACCCCCAGGAGACAGGGCTGATAAAAAGTCACCCACCATGAACCTGTCCTATTCCCCTTTCAGACGCAGCCCTGACAGCTTTTTCCTCCTCCTCCATTTGCCATTGGGCTTCAGTGATGG